ACTCATACTCATAATAGAAAGATTGTTGTTTTACATTGCTAAGTACTTGGGCAGTTTGTTATTCAGCAGTAGCAAAAGTCTAATACAAATGACTGCTTTTACTACATATATGACTTGGGCAATTATTCTTATCTAAAAGTTGGGAACTGAGTCTGACTCGAGAGGCTATAGAACTTGCCCATAGATGGTAAGTAACAGAACCAGGACTGGAAACGGTGTCTGCATGACATCTATGTTCTTGACTGTTGTGAACATTCGAGGGGTGGGGTAGGGGAAAGAGAGATAACCGTTGAAATGGTTTTGTAACTTGCTTTTGTTTCTTCTTAATGCAACATTGTGAGTATTTTGATGGAACCCTTGCTCTTTTTGCTGTATCCTACTGCATCTTTTTTCAGTAAATTCTTTTGTTTCAAGATAGAGAGCCCCATTCAAGTGTCAGAGTGCAATGATGCCTCCAAATGCTCCCTTTGAATCCAGTGGCCCTCCCTCCATTACAGAAGCACTGGTCAGAGTGTTTCATTTCCTTTCCTTTAGGGAGATACTGACACAGCAGAGAACAAAGCAGTAAGTTATTTGATTTGCAAAAACTGAAGTTCAGAGCCAGCACTTACTATTCTGAAGTGTAGAGGAGTTGCCTTAGGTTGGTAGGAGAGGCGATGACACTGAGGTCTAGGAAAAGGAAGTCAGTTTAGAGCACTGATAATCACTGTGGCATCCCTTTTCTGAATTCTGGTTCTGACCTTACCAGCTATGACGAAGGCAATTATTTTTAATCTCTGCCCGTTTGTTTTCTAAAATATTATTAACTTTTGGCAGGAGTTAAATGAATTAACATTAAGTGCTCAGAACATTGACTGGCACAGTGTAAACCCTAAAATGTTAATTCTTCTTCTTCCTCCCTTTCTCATCTTTTCTTCTTTCTTGTTCTTATCCTTCTTCTTCTAGGCTGTGTGTACCCCCAGGGCCCGTGTCCTGCACTTCTTTACCAAGGACTTTGAGAATCCAAAAGCAGAAAAGGCCTGTACCTGCTGCCTGGAATTAAGTCCCAGGGGTTCTCTCATGCCCCGTATAAGGACATCTGAGGTATGTGGGCAGATAGACCTGAGATGATCTCAAAGTGCTCCTTGCCCCAAGTTCTTAAAGGGGCAGATGGTCCCTGGAGGGCATGTGGAAGTAGGAGAGAGAGGAAAGGAGACAAGGAGGGAGGGAGGGGAGAGAGAGGGAGAAGGAGGGGAGAGAGGGGGAGGAAAAGGGAGAGACCTGAGAGCCTTTTGGTCAGGAAATGGGTGCAGGGTGAAGTCAGGCAGAAATAAGGATGTTTCAGTTAATGGCAGCATTGGCCAATGGCCACTGAAGATGAGTTTGGGACCCTCATATGTGTTGAGCAAAATGTAATCCCTCCGTATGAGACCTGACCACAAGGACAGGAAAAGGCAGGTGCAATACTGCAGTTCTGACATTAACTACTCAGAGTCAGTGCAAACTCTCAGGTTTAGGGCACAGTTTGCAGTAAGGCTGCCTTCACTTCCGATGCCAACCACAAGTTTGGGGGTTCCCAGGCCCCCCGTACTGTTGTCCAACTGGATACAAACTCAAGGGTTCTCACAACCTCCTTAGACTTGACCATTCACTAGAATGACTTTGAAAACTAGAAAAGCTCTATATGTACAATTACAATTTTATTATAAATACATGAATCAAGACCAGCCCAAAGAAGAGACCTACAGGATGAAATTATTGTACATCAGTATATAGAGGGCTGTATCATAGTTTTTTAAGGCTGCAAATAATTCCAGTGCATGGAGTAACCATATTTTATGTCATTAGTTCCTTACTGATGGGCGTCCATGTTGTTTTCAATATTTTATTCATCTGTACAAACAATGCTGCAATAAATATCCTTGTATATTTGTGATTTTGCAAATATACAAGTACATTCATTTGTAGAGTAAAACCCTAGAAGTATGTAAATTAAAAAAAAAACTTTAAATTTTGAAAGGTCTGCAGCAATTTGCATCCTTTGAACCATGACTGAGAGTTGTTTTCCTACACCTTCCACAGTATAGTGGTATCGAACCTTTGGTCTTTGCCAATATCGTAAGTGAGAAATGGTTTCTTATGTAGCTTTGAGTTGTCTTTCTTTTATTATAAGTAAAATTCAACAATTTTGTATATGTTTAAGAACCATTTTAATTCCTCTTCTATGAATTATCCATTATGTTTTCATTTCATTTATTTTTAGACTTTCATTCAAATTATAAAAAATAATATTTGCTACTAGAGATTCTCTGTTGAGTAAAAAAATCCAGCTGCATGATTTCATTTATAAGATACTTCTAAATCAGGATGACTTATAATAATTGAAAACAGAGGAATGGATGAGGGTACATTAAACAAATGCTTAAAAACAAAGTAGGCATAAATATAAAACCAGTCAAACTAAATCAAAGCAATTGAATGTTTCAAATTTATAAGTGGTGTTATTCATCCAGAATATGTTAACAGTCAGGAACCTCTATGAACCTAATAATAGATCTTCAAAAGTATAAAACAAAAATTGTTGGAAACACAATAAGATTTGATAAATTTTATTTTGGGGATACTTAAATATTTTTCTCTCAGATATTACCAAATCAAGAAAACAAAAATAAGTAAGACTATAGAGGATTTAAATAACAAAATTAATAAGTCAATAAACAATATGTATTTTTCAAAAATACACACGGGACATTCAGAAAAATAAGCACTGCTCCATCACAAGCATTTCAACAATTCTGAAAAGCAGAACATAGATACTCTGACAATAATGTAATAATATTATCAATTAATAACCAAAGAATGATCTCTTTCACAGCAAAACAAAAACAAAAACAAAACTCCAAGATTTGCAAGTAAATAGAAACATTTTCCTTACACGACTCAGATTAAAACAGCAATCAAAATGGAAATGAAAAACTATTTGGAGGTGGATGTTAATGAGAGAAACTGTTATGGACTCTTGTTGGATGTGCCCAAAATAGTATCGCATAAAAATGTATCACATTTATTAGGAAATAAGAAACTTTCATTAAGCAATTTTTTAAAGGTTAAAAAAATTAAAAATCAAGAAAATAAGCCTGGGGCAGGGGGAGAATTAATATATAAAAACATAAATTGGATTTCCACTTCTGTTACTATTGGACTCAACTCTCTTAAGAACAACTTCAAAAGCTGAAAAAAAAAATGGCAAGAATTGACCTGTACTAGGCGTGACAGGAGAGGACAGAAATCCAGAGTTGAGTCAGGCATAGGCACCCCTTTCCTGTTCGTGGACTTGCTCCTTTTCACAAGCAGAAGCTGAGAAGTGAGTGGTTTAGACTCATGGGCCTGGGAGGGAAAAACTGGGGTCCATGAGCTCTTATACCAAAACTTTTGGGGGGACCCCAAAAGATTCAAGACTGGAAATAGGCTAGCTTTCTAAAAGACTGCAGCGCAGCCGCAGACCATTCCACTGCCAGGACTGCATTAGGGTGATCCGGGATCGCTGTGCCTTCAGGGAACTCAAAAATGAAAGTGAATCTTCCCTGAGGAAAGGGGAGTCATCCCAAACCTCCCATTAGTTCCGCCAGCAACTTAGAGACCAGTCTTTCTAGCACACAATAAAATGTAACCAGGCCCAGGAAGAAACATGGCAACATGAACAAAAACCACTGGAAACAATAGCTAATACAGCTTGTCCCACAGAGCTTCCAGATATTGGAGTTATTGGTCATAATCCTTAAAACAACTGTGCTTACCAAATTAAAAAGGATAGTAAAGAAGAAAATTAAGAATTTGCCATAAAACTGGAAATATAGTAAAGGGCATAGATTTGAAAAAAGTGAATCGAAATTGAAAACTGGAAAATATAATAATAGAAATTTAAGAATTTAATGAATAGATTTAACAGCAGATTAGACACAGCTGAGTAGAGACAAAAAATGAGCTAGATGAGACAAAAGGTTAGACAAATACCTAAGAGAGAGTAAGAGACAGGAAGGATACAGCCAAAAGGGTTAGGGTTAGTGTATGTATATATACATACACATATACATATCTTGAAGGATCTCTATCTCTCCATCTCTATCTCATCTTGAAGTCCTACTAGGAGAGGGGAAATAGAAATGGGACAGAAGCAGTGTTTAAACAGATAATGCCTGAAAAACTCCCCAAACTGAGGAAGGACCCGCAGTCACAGATTCAAGAAACCACGGCCCCTAACAGGATAAGCAGAAAGAAATCCGCTCTTAGTCCAGTCGCCGTCCCTGTGAGGTTACCTCGCCCTTGCCCCGCCCCCCCCGCTCCCCAGCTCTGGCTGGCTGTGAAGGACCAGATCTTCAAATGTCTTACTGAGAACAAGCCTTACTGTCCCGCTGGCTCCGTCACTGATGGGTTGACTAATCTTTGACCCTGTGTTTATTTTATATTTGTGTAAGTCGTGTTTTTACCTTTTTGAAAAGTGTATTTTGAATATATATGAAACAAAGGATTCATGAAGCAATACTTTTCCTTCTTGTAGTGCTTTCTGCACTTTTTGTTTTATTATTTCCCATCTTACTGAAAAATAATTCTGCGCACACGCTGACCTGGTCTCAACCTGCAGTTTGAAAAACCCCGCTTTTGCAAACTTGGCCGGGGGGCGGGGGGGTGCAGAGGAAGCGCGGGGAGCGGGTGGAACGGCATTTTAAAAACCTATTTAAATGTGGTGGTCTGTTTGGCTTCCGGCTCTCCCTCCACGAGCCAGAAGACCTCGGACACTGGGCCTTTTAGTTGAGTTTTGTTTGTTTCTGCTCTCTCAGCGCTCAGACTCCAGGGGCAACGCGGGGCGGGGCGGGGCGGGGGCGCAGGAGCGGGGCGGGGCGGGGCGGGGGCGCAGGAGCGGGGCGGGGCGGGGCGGGGCGGGGGCGCAGGAGCGGGGCGGGGCGGGGCGGGGGCGCAGGAGTGGGGCGGGGGGGGGGGCGCAGGAGCGGGGCGGGCGCCCTCGGACGAGCCGGCGGCCAGTTTAATCTCAGCAGCCGGTGCCTTAGGGGACCGGGACAGGTCTCACTGGGTGGGACCTCCTGGCCTTTGGGGGGCTCCGGACTTCCTGGAACTTTTTGTGTCAGTGCTCAGAGTTCGGACAAAGCGAACGTCAAGTTCTCCGAGCGAGTTCTCGGAAGTGCGAGGTGCGGAGTTGCGGAAGGGGCGGCGGTCGTCCGCGCTCTCGGGGTCTCCCGGAGCCTCCCCCCCCCCCCGCCGCCCCGTGCGTCTTCTGCCTTTGTGTTGCCGTGCCCCTTCCTCGGGCGGGGAGGCACACAGTTGCAGAAAGTGACTTCTGTGTGTTCCTCGGGTCCTATTTGGAGGGATCAAGGACCGCGAGGTAAAGTGAACAGTAAGGGGCCTGGCTTGCCTTTCCCCGGCCCACTCGTGGATACTGGTGCCCTTGAACCCGCTCTAATCTTTGGGCGGGACCCGGGCGTTCAGGACTCGTTTCCAAAGGCGCTGCGGCGGCGCGAGCCATGGATCGCATTGCTGCGCTGGGCTGCACGAGGGTGCGGTGGGCGCTGCTGGGAACGCGGGTAGCCGGCTTGGGCCTCGGTCCGCACGGGGCCAGAGCCAAGGCTTCGATGCCCAATGCCCTCCCGGCGGCCGCCGCAGCCGAGGCTCCCGGAACCCGGCCTGGCGACCAGAGGCTGCGGAGCCCGGAGGAGCTTTCAGGACCAGGGCCACTGCGCTTCTTCTTCCACCTGTTAGGGCAAGGCTACGTTCTGCACATGCATCAGCTCCAGGTAAGCGAGGGGCCTCGTGCCCGGGGAAGAGGCGTGAGTGAGCCCTGGGACACGGAGGCTGGGAATGGGGAGACGTTGGACAAAAAGTGAAGAACGTGGGAACTTAGCTCAGCATCGACTAGGGCTCCCGTCATACCCTAGAAATCTGTACACATTGTGTGCAAAGGGTAGGCAGAGCCCTTGGAACTGAAATGAGCAGATCCAGGAGAGCGGAGAATCAGGAGGGCGCTAGAAAGGAGGTGACTAGGTTTCAAGGGGAGGGAGCCTGAGAGATTGCCTCGGTAACAGAATGACAGATGCCAGTGTACAGGCTGCCGGGGTTACAGAACCACTGCTGAGCTCTGTGGTCGAACTGGCTACCGCAGGCTTCTTCCGAAGGAAATGGCTTCAGGAGGATTACTGAGGTTCCCCAATTAGCCAGGTAAATTTCCCCTTAGGGGGAAAAAAAGATGTCACTTCTCAGGGAGTGAAAGCAAAATCATAGGCATTAAGGAAAAGGTGTACTTACTGTTATTAAGAAATCAATTTCCAGTGAGGAGGATTTTTAAATGTATATTTTATTGATTTTGCTGTTACAGTTGTCCCAGTTGTCCCACTGTGACCTTCTCCCAGTACCCCACTTCGCTCCAGCAATCCCCTCCCTTAGTTCATGGCCATGAGTCATGCATGTGAATTCTCTGGCTTCTCCATTTCCTATGCTGTTCCTAACATCCCCTGTCTGTTTTGTGCCTACCATTTTGTGTTTCTTAATCCCTGCACCTTTCTTTCCCCCATTCTCCTTCCTCCTTCCAGCTGATAACCCTCCAAATGATCTCCATATCTATGATTCACTTCCTGTCTTGCCTGTTTGCTTAGTTTGTTTTTGAGGTTCAGGTGTTGATAGTTGTGCATTTGTTGCCATTTTAATAGCTATAGTTTTTATCTTTTTCTTATATTGTTCCCTTTAACAGTTCATTTAATAATGGCTTGGTGATGATGAACTCCTTTAGTTTTACCTTGTTTGGGAAGCACTTTATCTGCCCTTCTATTCTAAATGAAAGCTTTGCTGGATAGGGTAATCTAGGTTGTAGATCCTTGCTTTTCATCACTTGGAATACTTCTTGCCAGTCCCTTCTTGCCTACAAAGTTTCTTTTGAGAAATCAGCTGACAGTGTTAGGACAGCTCCTTTATATGTAACTTTGCTTTTCTCTTGCTGCTTTTAAGATTCTCTCCGTTATCTTTAATCTTTGGCATTTTAATTATGGTATGTCCTGGTGTGGTCCTCTTTGGGTCCAACTTGTTTGGGACTCTTTCTGCTTCCTGGACTTGTCTGTGTATATTCCTTTGCCAAATTAGGGAAGTTTTCTTTCATTTTTTTTTCAAATAAGTTTTCAATTTCTTGCTCTTCCTCTTCTCCTTCTGGCACCCCTAGAATTTGGATGTTGGTACGATTGGAGACATCCCAGAGGCTCCTTATTCTATTCTCATTTTTTTAAAAATTATTTTTTCTTTTTGTTGCTCTAGTTTAATGCTTATTTCTCCCTTATGTTCCAAATCATTGATTTAAATCTTGGGTTCATCTCCTTCATCATTGGTTCCCTGTGGATTTTTTAAAAAGATTTTATTTATTTATTTTTAGAGAGGGAAGGGAGGGAGAAAGAGAGAGAGAGAGAAACATCAATGTGCGGTTGCTGTGGGTCATGGCCTGCAACCCAGGCATGTACCCTAACTGGGAATCAAACCTGCGACACTTTGGTTGGCAGCCTGTGCTCACTCCACTGAGCTACACCAGCCAGAGCCTGGATTTTTCTCTATTTTACTTAATGCAACCTTCACTTCTGCCTGGTTCTTTTTTATGTTGTTGCAGTACCCAGTGATTTCTTTGAGTGTCCTGATCACCAGTGTTTTGAACTCTGCATCTGATAGGTTGCTTCATTTAGTTCTTTTTCTGGAGTTTTTTCTATTCTTTCATTTGGGCCCTATTTCTTTGTCTGCTCAACTTGGCAGCCTCTCTGTGTTTCTTTCTGTGTCTTAGGCAGAGCTATTTTGACTCCCTGTCTTAACAGTGTGGCCTATTATAGAAAAGCACCCATCTGGATAAATGTGGCTTCTTTAAACCCTTGGTTATTAGGCCCTGGCTGGTGTGGCTCAGTGGATTAAGTGCCAGCCTGCAAACCAAAGGGTCGCTGGTTTGATTCCCAGCCAGGACGTGTGCCTGGGTTGTGGACTGGGTCCTCAGTAGGGTGGGGCATGTAAGAGGCAACCTCACATTCATGTTTCTTTCCGTCTCTTTCTCCCTCCCTTCCCCTATGCCTAAAATAAATAAAATCCTTAACATAAATAAATCCTTGGTTGTTGGACTTCCATGCAGCCCAATTATCTAAGAATCTGGGTGATGTTTGTTTTGTAGTTTAGTTGTAACTTTTGCTGTAGTTGTGTGTGGAGGGGAATCATGTTTATCTACATCTCCATCTTGTCTGGAAGTCTCTTAATCTGCCCGTGGTCAGCCAGGTGGTCTGTGCAGTGGCCCCTTGCACCCTCTGTGCCACAGCCAATTTCCCGTAAGAAGGATTTATCCAGCAGAACACTGATACAAGGCAGGGATGAATGGTTAGCCCACTGACAATGGACACAGACAGGTAAACCCAGTATTGGTTAAGTTGGAGAAGCTTTTAGGAGATCAACGGAATTAATGCATACACTCTGCCCCAGGCATTTTCCAAGTGTTAGGATTCAATGAGATAAAGCCAACACCCTGTTGAGGTTTATATACTCTTTTCAGGGAAGAGGGATGTATGTGTTATATGCCATTGAGTTGGCTCCAACTCCTGGTGACTCTATGAATGAGTGATGGCCATACTGTCCCCACCTCAACAGCCCTGCTCAGCCACTGTAGACTCATGTCCTTGGCTTCTTTTATGGAGTCACTCCATCTCATATTTGGCCTTCCTCTTTTCCAGGCCCTGGACTGGGCTGGTGAACAGACTGGCTACCATGTGGCTGTGCTGGGCTGTAGTCAAAAAACAGGAGGAGCTATGGGGACTGGGTTAGGACAAGCCTTTGAGGAGGGCTTTGGAGGCCAGAGTAAGGCCCCCGTTCCTCTGAGGGGCCATGGTGGGCTCTTGAGCAGACATGGGGTAAAGATGGCTTCCCAGAGACACTGTCCAGGTTATGGTGTGTGCAGTAGGATTGATTATACAGGAGAGGTGGAGAGGGTCTCAGGTGATGAAGGCTTGGGCATGGCAGTACCTGAGCCCTCCTCTAGAAGTAGCTGGAGTGGGAGTTGAGGATGAGGGAAAAAATGACTCTAAGGGTTTGAAGGCCTAACCTGATCAGTTTCTCTGCACCTGCCCAGGCTGCTGCTGTCTCCTCTGGGACCTTTCCTGTTGGGTGTGTTTCTGAGACTTGGCAGGCAAATCCTATGGTACTCAGAGATGTTTAAAAAATTACTCCCTTTGGGCTCAGGTCTGAGTAACTAAGCAAGCCAAGAAACCAGAGTCCTGCATACTTCTTCTGCTTGATTTGGCCTGTAGAAATTTGAGAGGCCTGGTGAATGGTCCAGGGCGGAGGCTAAAGATTTCACATCATTTGTGAGTGGGAGTTTACTGGGAGGTTTTGCTCAGGATTTTCTATAGAACAGTAACTACCAAAGAAATTCTAGATGGTCCTAGGAGGAGTAGGAGGAAGCAGGAGAAAGCCAGGAATGTGTGTCCTTTTAAAGAACAGGCCAAGGCTAGGATTCAGGAGAGCCACCTGTTTCCAGCCCTTACATCCCCAAGATCTGGAGTCATAGGGACCTGGGCTGTCCCATGGGAAATATTAGCCCTCCCCACCCACTACATGTAGATGGTGTGAGTTAATAAAAGACAGAATCCTACACATCTATAAAACCCAGTTAATACCCCCATTGAGGAACAGGATGCATTCTAGTGACCCACTTTGTATCAGTTCAAATTCATTTGGTTGCCACTCACACTGGCTTAAAGTATAAAACAATTTTATTGGTTCATATAATCCAAAAGTCTAATAGTTGGGTGCCCTTCAGGTACAATTTGCTCTAGGGATTCGTGAGATCATCAAAGCTACAGTTTTGTTTTTCTGCAGTTCTCTTGGCTCTGCTGTCTTGCAGAAGTTAGTTGACTGGCTTGGGTTAGTTGGCCATCCCTGAACTCATCGTAGTGGCCACAGGTATACTCTAACTTAGCTTAGACCCATGCAGGCTTACCCCTAAATCTGGGGTTGGGGTCTTTCCCTCTAAGCCCATACAAGGGGGAGGAGTGGAACTGATATAAGGGCATCTGACTATAATGTTCCCAGCACCCTCAGTTGTGGGAAACTGTATATCCCACGTAAAAATTGTCACATCAGCTCAGGGAAGCATTGTAGGACTTAGGGGGGTGGAGTGGGAACTGGGACATGTGTAAATCATGCTAGTCCATACATGCTAGTTCCTTTCTCTTTCCTAAACAAAACAATGTCAAGAGTGTTGGAAAAATGAAATGTGAATGTGTTAAATGCATATGGAAATTTATATTGAATTGATATCTTTTTCAGAGATGTCAACCCTAAAACGATGAGATCAGCTATCGATTCTATAGCTCTTATGGTGGACCCCCTAGATCAGTGAGCTCCCTAATGCCCTGTGCACATACTTGTCACTCCATGTATCATGCTTCTTTTTTTTTTTTATAGTTACAAAATGTTTTCTTGTGATGAGAACTGTTAAGAGCTACTCTCTTAGCAACTTTCAAATATATAATACGATATTATTCATTATAGTCACCAAGCTGTACATTACATCCTCAGAACTTATTTATGTTATAACTGGGAGTTTGTACTTTTTGACCACCTTCACTCATTTTGCCCACCCACCCACCCCCCACCTCTGGCAACCACCAATCTGTTCTCTATGAGTTCAGTTCTGTTTTGTTTTAGATTCGCATATATGTGGATCATTCAGTATTTGTCTTTCTCTGCGTGACACTTCATTTAGCATAATGCTCTCAAGGTCTGTCCATGT